GCACCCGCCCTGGAGCGAGACAGACACGCCATCAGCTTGAACTCAGGGGCTCACCTGCTACAGGGAGGCTGGTAGGTGCAGCTGTGCGTCCACCATGGCGACAGTCGGGGGCGCAGCCGCTTCCACCGGGCTGCAAGGTCCTCGTTCGTCAGGCCCCGCTCTCCGCTCCAGGGTCACGCACGCACGCACGCACGCACGCACGCACGCACGCAGCGCCGAGGCACTCACGCAGGCCAGGAGCCGCTGCGCCGCTAGGCCTCTGCTCGTGATGCTTGGTCTACCCAGAGCCCTTTTCCCTCTCCCTCCGTTCATCCTTCCCTTCACCCATCCATTTGCCCATCCACTCGTCCATCCGTCCGTCCATCCACCACTGCCGAGCGTTAACTACATGCCAGGCACTGATATAGATGCTGGGAATGTTGAAGCGGATAAAATGGAAAACAAGAAAACTCCTGTGCTCATGGGGCTTGTGTTCTAGCAGGGAGATTCCGGCAGCAAATAATAAGACAAACCACTTACATGTAACGGGAAGAAGAAAGCAATGATTGGAAAAAAATAGAGCAGGGCAAGAGAATCGGGGAGCGGGCGCGACCTGAGAAAGCTGGCCGGGCTCTCCGCGTGAGGGAGGGAGCCCTGAGGACGTCCGAGGCCACAGCGCTCGCGCAGAGGGGACAGCGCGCAAAGGCCCTGGGGTGGACGTGGCTTGGTGGGTGTGAGAAAGGGCGGTGGCGATGAGGTCGCAGATTGTGGAGGCCAGGGCGTGGGAGGCTTGCGGACTGGTCCCGCCGCAAAGCACACCCACCTTGTAGATGCCCCGACCCCCACGGTGCCCGGCCCCACGCCGCAGCGGGCGCCTGCTCGAGAGCGCCAGCGGCCTTGTCACAGTTTTCTTACGGTGAGTACGCTTTCTCCAAAGACGGATTCTCGTCTGCACGGCCGCCTGCGTCCTCACTGAACACACACGGGTGCCCAACGTGAAGAGGAACCGGCGTCCCCGCCTGCGGGAGGCGGAGGGCTCTCCCCACGGGCGCAGGCGCTGGAAGGCCTGAAGAGGGTGACCTGGTTTCCGGGTCTCGTCTGTGCACTTAGTTGGCCTTTTTGTCTTGGAGAGCAGGTGACTCCCCAACTCTCCTTTCTCTAGGTTCCTGAAAGACTGGAGGGTTTATTTCCCCCCCTCCCAGCATCTTCCCACATTTAACCTGTGACTTATACAGTGGCCTCCTGGGTATAAACAACCTTCATAAAGCAGCCCTCCAGGGGAGCCACCTCTGCTCTGTCATCGAGAAGACTGCCGCATCTCACCCGGCGGGATGGCCCACTGGGCTCCCTGAGGGCCGGCAAGTGTCCCTTGACCCGACCACAACCTCACAACATGCCAGCGCCCAGCTCGGAAGGGGGCGGCGTGCCCCCAGCGCGAGCGGCGGCCTCTCAGCGCTCCGAGGGGCTGGCCGTGGGCTCTGCCGTCTCCTCAGGCTGTCTCAGCCTTTGGGGAAGATGGTGGGCTGGGCTGGTGTCAGGGGCCCCACCCCAACCAGGCAATAGTAGTTCTTATTTGATCCCACCTATTTGCTGGTTGGCATCCAGACCCCGTCCTCCCCGTCACAGAGGGTCCCGGAGCCTGCAAGGCGCACTTCCCAATGGCGTCTGAGATCCTACGGGCAGGAGGCACTGGCAGGGGACTAGGCAGCAGCAAAGAGCTGTGCTGGAATTTGGGGGGGTCTAGTGGTGGCAGCAGCAGGGACAAGTGTGCACGCATTCCTGGGTCTTCTTCAGGCAGTGAGGTCCCACCAGCAGCCCAGGGACCGAGGCTTTGGGGAACACCTCTCCCCCCAGTTCAGCGTAAGAGCAGTTTCCTGCACTCACCAATACTTGGGCCACCTCGCCGGTGCTCCGCTTGCTCAGTAACCAGCCCCCACACTCAGTCCTGTTGGAAGCACCCGAGGCCGCTTCTGTTTCCCTGACTCTGCAGAGCTTGGTAGCAGGAATGGCATCTGAGGGGCCATCTTTTATGCCTGGACACCTGGGTTACCGGACCCCGTGGGCCCCAGGAATGACCTTGCCGCGAGGGCACATGGAGCCCCAGCAGTTCACAGTGCTCGGTGGCAACATGGGACTTAACATCTCACCTGCTTTAAGAGCCTGGGGGCGGGGGGGGGTGCTTCTTGAGGGCAGAACTGGGAAGCTGATGGGCCGACACTCAGTCACTGTGGCAGAAGCAACCAAGCTGGAGTTCGGGGGGTGGGCTGGCTGCGGGGACCACAGCTGAAGTGGCAGGAAGGAACTGCCAGCGCAGCTCGAGGTGCAGGAACAAAACCAGAGCATCTCCACCAGCCAGGAAAGAATCTCTTTAATATCCTGTAGCCACAAGAACGATACAACTGAAAATACAGCCCCGTGGTGGATCCTGCAGGCTGCAGTTGCAAGTTGAAGTCACAGTCTTGCCGGCCCTCTCATACAAAGTTTAGGGTGTTGATCTGGAGGAAGTGGGACCCTGAGAACAGTACAGGGAGCATCTGGATGGAGTCGAAACCTGACACTCCTGAACTGAGGGACACGTGTACAGTCAGATGCTTCATGGACATTCCTGCCATAATCCAGCTCTGCATGTGATGTCATCTTTTCAGCACCTGCCAGCCATCTCTACTTAGCCTCGCACCTTGTAGCTCCAGACAGAACCCACCTCAGCCTTCCAAATGGCCAAGACATCCAGGAAATGTTATCTGTGTATTGCTCTCCAAGGCCACCTAAGTGGACACAAGACCTTGTGACACATAAGGGCACATCACTTCACAGAGGCATAGATCCTAGGTCCCCTGGCCTCCCATCCGCACAGGCAGCAACCTGGCGCCCACCCCACTGAGCCGCTTTCTTCACCTATAGGACAGGCCTGGTGCCTGGCACCTTACGGAGCTGCTGGGGGCTCCCGTGCAACAGCTGGGGAGGGCCTGGTGCCTGGAGGCCACTCCTCGCCCTCCTGGGCTGGGGTGGGCACTGTAACTCCAGGGAGGGGATCAGGGGTACAGGCCACTCGGGAAGGAACCCTGCCCCCCTGGGCAGGGGGACAAGCCAGGGCCCTCTCAGCCCTGTTCTGAGGTGACTGGACTTGACCCCATGGGCTTGCATGGGCGCCCTGCCTCCCTCCCCTGCACCAGAAGCCCCAAGAAAAAGCTTTTTACAGCAAGATGGACATGTCTAAGAGTAGCAGCTGTGTGAGGTGACATGACATCAGTCTCGTCCAGGTAACTGGCTCCCAGCTGCTCTGCAGATGACTGGGGCCTCCCCCTCATGGAGGCAGATGTCAACAGAGGATGCAGGAGGTATGGCGACAGAGCCCTGGATGCTGATGCCACCGCTGTCTTGCCACGAGACCTCAGCCAAGGCGCCGTGCATCTCAGAGCCTCACTTCCCTGCCTGAGAACAGGGCTGTGCTACCAACCACAGGGAGCAGATGCAGGCACAGGCTGGCCTCCACCAGGCCCACTCCCGCCTCTGTGTCCTCACACCCCACGGGCCCCCGAGGCTGGCTGTGCCTCAGCCTGCTCTTGGTGAACGTGGCGGGAGTCAGACCGCCGCAGGGTTGGGGCACGGCAGCCTGGGCACAGTGGCCCCCACCGGGTGCGCCTCCGGGGCCCCTGCAGCAGCTGCCCTCAAGTCCTGTGCAGGCAGCTCTTACTGAGATGTCTGTCATGCCATCTGTTCAAGAGTTTGACAAACAACAAAAAGAGGTCTGGAGCCCTGGCCCTGACCTCCCTTAGAAGGGTCCTGAGTAGGAAAGGCACATGAGTCGCTGCCTGTGGTGCCCAGGCAAGTCAGAGAGGCCCAGGAAGCAAGGTGTGACTGGGCAGCACAGGGCCTCTGAGCAGCTGGCACGGGGTGGGGGGGCCCCCTCCAGAGTGAGGGCTCCCAGGGCATTGGCATGGGTGGAGGCTGGGACACCAGCTGCCTGGCAGCACTGGGGGCAGGCCGGCTGGGACACAGCTGGCCCACATTGGGCTGCCGGAGCCTGGGGCCCCGCAGCGGCGGCAGCTTAAGGCAGCAGTGGCCAGGTGGCCAGACGACACCCACAGGTGTTGGGGACGCTGCTCGCGGGCCCAAGGCCGCAGGGCCCGCCACTGTGGCCCCCAGACCAGGCAGTTCCTGGTTCAATTACTAAGTTTTGTTTGCACGCTGGCCTGGGCATGGCGAGCCACCTGCTGTCAGAACAGTTCAGGCTAGGACACAGTGGGGACAGAACAGAGTCCCTTCGGTGCCACCTGCCCCCTGTTCCATAGCACCCTGCTTGCCCTGGGATCCTGTGCATAGGGCGCCCTCCTGGAATGCGGTCGCCTTGCCCCTCAGGCTGGGGGGAGGCAGTACCGGCTCACGGAGCTGCTGGAGTTTCCACAACAGAATCTGTGCTTAACAGAGGCAAGAGGTGTGACTGGCGCTGGGCCGCCCCAGGGCGGGGGGGGGGGGGGGTGGGACCTGGCTCCGGGCTCGCCGGTCTACTCCCGGGCCTGCAGCCCACCCTTTTCAACTGTGCTAGGAACGGACAGCCCCAGCCTTGGGAGGGACCCAGAAGCGGAGCCCATCTCTTGCCAGAATTCCTTCTGGGCCCAACCCCCAGCACGGTGGGAGCCCCGTGGCTTCCCTGGCCCTCCCAACAGCACGCCACACACTGCTAGGGAGCACGGGGGCCGGGGGCGCTGCTGGACCCCTCAGGGATTCCTGGAGGCCGGAACGGGCACATGCAGGTCAAGGCGTTCCTGATAGTCGGCGGGAAGGCATCTGTGTGCAGGGCCCCTGAGTGGTGGCTGTGGCAGGGGCTTGGCTCTGAGCGTGGGAGCAGAGGTGCATGGAGGAGTTGCCATAGCAACTAGCACCCCATCTCCTGGAGCCCCGCACCCCAAGCCAGAGGCCTGGAGGGAACACATCGCACTCAGGGATTCACTGTTAGCTTCTGCCTTGGCCCCAGAGGGACTCCGGCTCCTGGGTCCCCTGCAGGCCCCAGAGGGGTGGGTGCGGGGACATGGCGTGTAGGGAGGGTGCTGGAGTCGGGACCCTGAGCCCCGGGCAGTGCCTGAGAGGAAGCCCACAGAAATGCTGGTGCTGAACAGAGGGTGCTGGGGTGTGCCTCCCAGGCTGCTGCCAGGAAGGCTAGTCTGGGAGGGGCCCTGGGACCCCAGGGAGGTGACAGACCACGCCCGGCCACAGTGCACCGTAAGAAAGACACCCTGATATCTGATGGCTGTAAAGGGAACCCCTCCGCAGAAATGTTTCTTTTGGGTGGTGAGGGTGGTTCTTGAGGACAGTTTGCCTCCCTCCCACCTCAGCTCCAAAGGGTCCTTTCTGAGAAGGCTCACCCACAGGGCGGCCAGTGAGGGGTGGGGTCCCTGCGATGCTCAGCTGCACGTGGAGCTGGCTCCTGGCAGGCAGCTGTGCGGGAAGGGCAGGGCAGCCACAGGGGACAGGGACCTCCTTTTCCCGCAGAGCCGAGGGACATGGAGGGAAGGGGCCGAGGGACCGGGACCAAGGAGAGAGCAGCCAGCGCTCCCCCCACCGGCCTCCCCGCCAACGCGCAGCTTGGCACTCAGAGTTCCGCGCGTGTGCGTGTACATGTGCGTGGGCTCAGAGCGCACCGCGGGGGCTGAGCCAGCGCCCGGGCCACCCGTTCCCAGGCTCACACGCCAGAGAGGGCCGTCCCTCGCCGCCTCCTGCCAGGGCGCGGCTGGCGGAAGGGAAGGGGCAGCGCTGACTGGTGGCAATCATGGCTTGGCGCTGCGCTGCTCAGAAGTTGGCACATAGTTCATTATTGCTCCTCTCAGCTTGGGGAGCACACTCCCCATCTGCAAAGGGGACACAGGCTGGGAGGCAGCGGTGGCGGGGGCACCAGGACAGCCCATCTGCCCGTCGCAGAGCAGGGAACACAGATGAGCCCCGGGCCGCCACAGGAACGGCCTGCGTCTGTCCCGGTCCTGGCCGTGGGCCTCCCAGGCCCGCCCACAGCCGGCCGCGTGGCCCTCTGCAGACCAGCGTCTGCAGCGCGGGGGCCGCCGGGCCCGGTGGCCACCGCTGCTGGACAACTGCCCGCCCTTGGCCCGCTACCTCCAGCGACCGCAGATGAGCATCCTTAGAAAAATGACCGAGCCGCCCCCTACGGGGTCCGGGTTTCCTGAGAGCACGGGGCGGGCCCGGGCAGAGGCTGCGAGGGAAGGCCGGGCAGGGACAGGTCTGCCCCACAAGCCAGGGTCACGGCTGCAGGCGCTCCAGGTACTGGGGCAGCGGGTTCTCCTTGACATACTTCTGGATGTACCAGCACGTGAGATGGGCCTTCAGGTCCTCCTCCACCACGAAGTCCAGAGCAGCCTGGCAGCCAGCAGAGAGGGAATGGTCAGTGCCCGCCGCCTGCACCCGGGAGCCCAGCGGCTCCGCCCCGCACCTCCCAGGCCGTTCCCTCTGAGGGCGGGAGCTGGCTGCCCACGGCCGCCCGCTCTGTCCCGTCTGCCACGGAGGCATGGGCTGCTCTCACCACCCTCGTATTTCAGTGGAGGAAACTGAGGCAGAAAGCACTGGTGAATCGCCTGAAGCACACATCACAGAAGAGCATGAGCCGGGACTGGATCCTGAGCTCCTGCCCAAAGCTGCCCGGCGGCGGGGCTGAGCCTGGAGAACTCTGCCCCGCTTCCGCACACCTGTCCCTCCCCCACCCCGGGGCCAGTCTCCACTGCCTGCCCTTTCCAGGCGCAGGGCCTACACGCTCCCCGGGGGCCTGCCTGAACTCTCCGCCTGTTCTTCACAGACAACCCGCCTGTGGCCTCCTTCTGGAACCTGCCCCTGGGGCCTGGGTCAGGGCGCATGGGGCTCTCCCGGCGCCCAGGGCTTCCTGTGCCCAGCCAAGGCCCCACTTAGTTATTACAGGGCTCCCCGAGACAACAGGGGGCGAAGCGCCGGGGCCGGTGTGCAGCCTGGGTCTGGGACTGCTGTCCTCACCTCCAGTGAGCTCAGCAGACGGCGAGCAAGGTCGGGAATGCTGCGCCTCCGGCCCCAGCGTCCCGCGCACAGGCGCACAGCTGGTGTTTAAGAAATGTGCTGAAACTGAGCAGAGGGCGTCTGGGCGGGGCTGGCGGCTTGGAGGAGAAGGCGCAGCGTTCGCTCAGTGCCTGCGAGGTGCCCGGCCCTCACATAGCTGGGGCGCCTGACCTCCCACCGCCCCGGGCTGGCCTTGCACGCCTCACCGCCCAGTCCACACCTGGTCCTGGGGTTTTCAACTTGAGACTCTCATGCGAAGAGCCCAGTCTATTCTCCCATTTTGCAGATAAAGAAACTGAAAGGCCAAGAAGGTGCCAGTCAAAATAAGTGTCACGTGGTGTGGGCCCTTGTGCCCCGGCCGGGCAGGGTTCCCCAAGGCGAGGGTGCGGCCCAGCTCCCCTCCACCCAGGTCAGTAAATCTCAGTCTCATCGGTCACATGGACGAGGGAGAAGAGAGGAGCCTGGGTTGGGGGCGGGAAGAGCAGGCCGAGGGAGGAGCCTGGGCCCAGGAGCGGCTCTCCGGGGACCTTCAGGCCACTCTCTGCTCCAGCTGCATTGAGCCCAAGCCTGCTCTCTGAGCAGCCTTGAGTCTGAGGTGCTTCAGGCACGAGGGCAGTGGGGGCAGGGAATGGGGCACTAGCTCAACGACGACCCCTCGTCATCCACGCGTCCCTACGGCACTCACTGAGTACCTGTGACATGCTGGATGCAGGGGCCCCAGACGATGAGCTCCTGACATGCAGCAGGTGTTGGTGGCCCTGGAGTCTCAGCTATGCAGACCCTGGGGCCTGGGCCCACAGCCACCGCCACCAGTCCCAGAAGGGCCAGGAGTGGCCACACGTGCTGACCCTTGCCGGCCCCTGCTGCAACCTGGTGGCAAAGCGGGCACCTGTCTGTGCTCTGGCCAAGAAACGGGCCCAGGGGGCCACCAGGGCACGGCATGTCTGAAGGGGAGGGTGCGCCTCTCTACACCGCCTCCCTACCTTGGCGAGGTGCTTGGCGATGCCGCGCCCGCGGTACGCGTCAGGGACCTCGGTGTGCTGCAGGTCCACGATCCGCTTGCCCACGTACTCGTAGAGCAGGACGGCCCGGTCGTGGCACCCTGCAGAGGGAGGTGGGGACACGTGAGGCCACGGGGTTCCGGGGGCCTGGCCCAGGCGCGAAGCTCAGGCGGAGAGACGGGCACCTGGAGCCAGGCTGCTGGAGTCGGATCCTAAATAACCTCTCTGTGCCTCAGTTTCCTCATCCATAAAGTAGGGCTATAATAAAACATTTCTAAAAGGATTGTTTGGAGAATTAAATGAGATCATTTTGATAAAATGCTCAGCACAGCGCCCAGAACACTCCAGGCTACCAGGAAACCGCTGCTATTCTCAGACCCAGCGCCCCGCGGCCCTCGCACCCCACAGTCCCGCTCTCCGTCCCCGCCTGGGCGCCCTCCGAGGGTCTGGAGCCCCGGCCCAGCGCTGGGTGAGGAGCAGGACCCGGTGCGCCCTCAGCTAACCCGAGGGGCGGAGAGACCAGGCAGCAGGCCCGGGGACGCGTCGGGACTACTCATCAGGCCCCAGGAAGGTGGGACGGCACCAGGGTCCTCGGGAAAGTGACCCTGGGCACACGGGCAGGAACAAACTGGCCTCTGTGTCCTCTTGGGCCTGCCAAGACCGCAGTGTGCCAGTCCACCCCGAAGTCCTGCTAGAGAACATTTGACTGGGGTTCTTCCAACCACAGCCTTTAGTTTCCTGTCTGTCTGTCTGTCCACCTGTGCAGAGTCTACCCACCAGCCTCATTTAGCGAATGTCTGTTGAGACTCAGGCACTGTTTCAGGTGCTAGGGCCATGGCAAGGAACAAGCCAGACGGAAGTCTCACTCTCCTGGGACCCGCCAGGAGAGGGGCCAGAACAAAGACATGGGTAGGGGGTGGAGAAGGGGGGCTGCTGGGAGGAGAGGAGGTGGGAAAAGGAGGGAGTGGGCTACGTGGTGTCAGGGAGCAGTGTCCCAGGCGGAGGGAGCAGGCAGGACAAAGGCTGTGAGGCAAGAGTGGGCGAGAGAGGGTGGGCGGGGGGCAGGTCCTGCAGAGTCCCCTAAGCCATCGGGAGCGGGGTGCCATAGCAGGGCCCTTGGAAGAGGAGGGACAGGGTGTGATCACAATGTCACGGGATCCCTCTGGCTGCTACGCAGACAGCGAGGTGGCTGCCGCACTAGTCTGGGTGAGCAAGAGGGGCACAAGTGGAGGGAGGCAGCAGGGGAGTGAGGCAGGGCGGGACTCACCGGAGGCCCTGACCATGGCTGGCAGGGTGCACTGCCAGTGCGAACGTGGTGAGGGAAGAGAGGAGTTGGGGACAGTGCTAAGGCCTGTCCCTTCAGGGCCTGTGAGGTGTGAAGGAAGCAAGCTGGGCAGGCAGCACCAGGGCCATTTGGCCCCAGGCAGCCAGGGAAAGACAGGAAGTGGCACAGCCAGTGCAAAGGCCCTGAGGTAGGAACACACAGTTCACTGTCCCTAAAGGAAAGCACATCAACGCCAGGTGAGTTTCCCTGATGTTCAAGAGCAAGGCGTACTTCGTTTTCTGCTTTCAAGCACCACCAAAAATTTGCTAAACTCTGCGCAGACTCAGGGCCCGCGGAGCCGCAAGCGGGAGACCGATGGGTAGAGGGATACAGACGGCCGGTCCGGGGCCTCTCAGCAATCTGGCTGCCGCAGCGGGGCCCAGCCGCCGCGGGGCGCCTCCTCGGCCTTCCCCAGAGCTCCAGGAGTGAGGCGACAATCCACCTCCCGCTCCCAGAGCGGGAAACGGAGACCCGGAGATCCACATCCCGCTGCAGGTGGAGGCGAAGCTGAAACCCAGGTCTCTAGGCCTGGAGCCCGGGGTGTCTCTCTGGCCCCTCAGCACATGTGCCATCTCCAGCCGCCAGGTCTTGGCCCAGGCGGCTGCTCCTGCCTAGGATGCCCCCCGCCCCAAGCTGGGCCCTGCTGAGGGCAGCCCCAGGCCCGCTCCCCTGCAGTCTCCCGGGCGCCCAGCGCTCGGCTCCCACGCCTGCTGGGGTTCACCCACCTCACCCAGAACAGGAGAGTGGAGGCCTGGGGGCTCCTTCGGGATCGACGCAGTCCGCAGTCACTGAGGGAGCTGCCTGCCTGCCTGCCCACCCGCCCTGGCTGTTTAATCACCCTGAACTCATCAAGGGCCTACTGTGTGTCAGGCAGCGTGTCAGGGGCTGGGTGCGGGGCAACACAGAACACTGAGCAAATGCTTCCCCAAAGAGAAACAGACAATAAGCAGTGTCGTTATAAATAATACATGATTCGAGGTGGTGGCTGCAGAACGCAGCAAAGAAGGGGAGAGGGGGCAGCGCTGCCATTTTAAAGAGGGCACAGGGGGCCGGCCTCCCTGGAGCCAAGCCTGGGAGGGAGTGAGGCACCCAAGGAGACGTGGGGGAAGCACTGGGCCAGGCGGCCAGGCCAGCAGGTGCACAGGCCCTGAGGCACAGTGTTCGGGGCGCAGCGAGGAGGCCCGCAGGGCTGGGCGGAACAAGCTGTGGACACCGGAAGCAAGCCCCACTGGAGGTTCTGCAGCCAAATCACCTGGGGCCTTGCAGACCATTGAAAAGATCTCAGCTTCTAAGCCACTGCCATCCCTGAAGAGAGAAAGGCAGGGCTGCGAGTCCGCAAAAGCTTGCTAGTCCTCCCCTGTTCATTTGCCTACCCTCTGTCAACGTTCCTGAGGCAGCTGCTTGGGCCATGGAAGGACCAGACCCTGGAACGGCCCGGGCTTGTCCCCACCGCCTACCCGCATTCATCAGCTCCCGATGGCCACATGGGCTTGGCCACCACTGCACTCCCAGTGCCCGGCCCGGGGAAGACACGCAAGAGGCATTTGTCCTACAAACAACTGCTCTTCTCTGTGTCACACTCACTAGGGGTCGGAGGCTGACTTGTGGGTGACCGGCATGCCCAGCACCCTGGCCTCCCCAAGGCCTGGGCCGCGCCTTCAAGGAGACGACAGATGGCAACAGCTGCAGCTCACGCCTGCGAGGCCCCGGCATGGGGAGGGCCTGTGTTCAGCTCTCTCCAGACGCTAATCCTCATGAAAACAGTGAGGACGGCCCTTAGGGCCCTGCTCACAGACGGGAAAACCGAGGCTCTGAGAGGCGGCCACACACAGCGCAGTGCACCGAGCTGGTCGGAGACAGGCTGAGCTCGCAGGGCGGCTCTTCCGGCTGAATGAGGGACAGAAGGGCCCAAGAGCCACCAAGGGGACCCAGCCCCCTGTGAGGGAAAGGACAGGGGCAGTGAGGGGGGGAAAGAGTGCGTGAACGATGCCCCGCTTCCACTCGCCCCCGGTGGCGGGACCGCACCACGGTGGCTGAGGAGGAGCCGGATCCTTGGCGGGCCTGCCAAGGCCGCCCAGTCCCAGCAACCCACATGTGACAGCCTCAACGCCCCACACCGCCCTCAAACCTGCCCTGAGAGCCCCAGAAAATGGCCCAGCCCTGGGGTTCAGGCCAGGACCTGCGGTCCTCCTGGTCCTTTCTTTCAGACTCAGCCAGTCCTGAGACAGGTCCGTGGGTACAACTTCCAAAATATGCTTGGCATCAGGCCACGGGTCACATCTCTGTGGGCACCCAGCCATGGAGGCCGAGGCAGACCCCACCTGCCCTCTGCTCAGGACCCTGGCCGCCACGCTGGCCCCCTGGCTGCGCCCGAGACACCCGGCTCACAGCCCCCCAGCCCTCGCCGGGCTGCGCCCTCTCCCGGCATCCCTCCCGGGCGCAGCCCCTCCCCGTTGTTCAAAGTGAGCCCAAATGTCACCTCTGCAGACATCAGCAGAAGGCAAGAGGGGTACTATGTCATCACCCTTCACTGTGGGCACCACACCCGTCTGTCGGGCGCCTGGGCCCATAGATAGCACTGTCTCTGCTCAAGGCTCAGCGGGCAGCCCCAGGGCGTGGCCTCCTCGGGGCGGGTGCTGCGGGCTCAGAACCTGCCACTGCTGGGACCACAGGAGGAAGTCCGAGGCAGGGCGGTCCCGGGGTTCCAGTCCCCGTTCTGCCAGGTGACTTCAGACCAGTCCCAACACCTCGTGCCCTCCGCCTGGGCCTGAGCACCACAGGCGGGCCACAGGCTGCAGCCGCTCTGAGAAAAGTCAACGCCACTTGGATCATGAGACCCTGCCCACAGGTCTCCTCGTCCCTGCACCCTCCCCAGCCCCAACCTCAGGACCAAAGGCCCCGGGGAGTTCTCTGCAGGGGCTCTAGGTGGGGGGGGTGTGGGTCCTGTGCAGAGGGCGATGACCACCACCGTCCGCTCCGCCAGCACCAGCTCTGAGCAGAGGGCCTGAGGGTCAGAACGCCACTGCAGAGATGAGGAGAGCGGGGCTGGGCGCTGAGGAGGCAGACCAGGGACAAGTGGGTGCAGGAGCAGAACGGCCCCAGAAGCACCCGACTGGCATTCGGGGGGTCTCCACACGCAGAGTCTGCTTTGGGGTGGGGCCGGGAGCTGGAAGCTCAGGGGCAGGTTAGGCAGAGGGGGCTGCAGCTCGGGTAAGCTCAAGGGGACCAGCCAGCACAGCCAGGAAGCACGTGAGGGCAGACCGCAGGAGCTACCCAGGAAGGCCGCCCTCAGGCCCAGCCTGCCCCTTGCTGGACCACACCACGTTGGCTCAGGAGCCATCCCTCCTGCCCTCCCTGCTCGAGGACATGGCTCTAGGCGGACATCATGGGACGCCATGGGACAGGGGACTTCCTGGGAACAGCCACGCAGGCTTCTGCAGGGGCCTAACATTGAGGGATCTGAGGACCACCAGGCCTGCGGCCCCACTCACACCACCCTGGCTGAGGGTGGCTGGGGTGGCGGCCAGCCTCAGGCTTCCCACCTGCAAAGTAGAGGCTAGGGAGCGTGTGGAAAGCACCAGAATTCTAGGACCTGCAAATGACCCTCCTCTTTTTTTACTGCAAGATAAAAATTCATTTATTAACAATTATTTAGTTTCTGCATAAAAACCATCACTTGTTCTTCACTGGGTTTTTAACACACATCAATTCTTTGGGGGTTCCTCTATTCGCTTAAAAAACTACAGCTCTTTCCAGCACCAGAAAGGACAGCCAAGGCAGTGAGGCCGCTCCTGGGGCTCCCCCACTAGAGACTCCAAGGTAGGCGGCTTCTTGGTGGGAAAGCCGTCCCTGAAGAAAGTAATTACGCAGAAGAACGCAAACTCAGTCATCTCTGATCAACTATTTAAGCCTGATAGCTTTAAAATGAAGTCCCCTTGGTCACAGCCACCTAAGGCCCACTGGTCGCTTTCAGCTGTGGCAACCTGTCTGGAGGGAGACAGCGAGGAGGGGTTGGGGACGGGGTGACGGCGCTGCCAGGCTGGCTGTGCAGCCACAGGCAGCTACGCACCAGTTTGCTTAAAAAAAAAATCCACAATAGGGGTCTCATATAATTCCAAATCAAGCTCCTTGTGGTCTTGAAATACCCAGACACTGTTAGAAGGACACAGCCTTATTTTTAAAGTGAGGTGTAAGACAGGGCTCCCCCAGAGTTATGCTCTGCAAGGGGGAAAAATCCAAAAGACCCGAGGAACTGACGTGTTAGCAACATTAATTGGTTTGCAGCACACTGACATGAAGGGGTCATCAGTCTGTGCTTCTGCGAAAGTCAAAAGTGATTCAGAAGCAGGACTGTTACTCATTGCCCCGTGAAGGCAGACCCCAAAAGTGACGTGTAAAGAACCCGGACCACCTCCTGCAGGCCCTGGCCAGACTCAGGCCACCGTGGGGAAGGTAGGCCCGCTCGATTCCTAGCGATTCGGGTGTTTGCTTCTGCAAGAAGCTGTGTGAGGGCAGTGCTGCCGGGCGCTCTACACTGTGCACTGGGGCTCGCGTCCATCTTGGTGTATGGCTCATAGGTGGCATCACGGTGGCCGTGCAGTGACTGGGACGAGGCGGACCTTCTCTGGGCACTCCTCCTCGTCACGTCCTGGCCCGTGAGGGGCGCGTCCAGGAGGGTGGGCTCCCAGGGTGCAAGGTCTTTCCTGCACCACCCGGCCCTGGTGCTTCTCCAGGGCCATCTCGAAGGCTTTGGTGGCGTTGACACAGACGAGGTTGGGTGACTCTTGTCCTGCTTCCCACCACAGATGCTCTGGAGGAAGACCTGGATGAAACGGAGGCCTCTTCTCAGCCACATCAGCACCGGCGCAGCCCCCGCTCTGGGCTGCTCTGCTCCATACACTTTCCTCTCCACCTCCAGGGTGTTCTGCAGGGTCCAGAACTGGGAGGCAGACCCAGCTTTGATTTTCGTAATGTTGCCACATATGTCCACCCTGATGGGCGCCAACACCAGGGACCCAAGGCAACAGAAGAGGGTGGCAGGCGGGACACTGCTCCAAGGATGGACCAGGGCTCCCTCTGCTTGTCTGCGGCAGTGGCTTCAGCAGGTGCGGTTTCAGGGTGGAGGCCTGCGGTGATGCCCCTGCCAGCGCCGTGGGCATGCAGTTCAGCACTGGGGTGCTCACGCTGCCTGCTGCAGACTCTGGGGATGCCAGCACAGGACCTTTTCTCTTAAAGCTAGGGGGGCACTTGGCCCTGGCTGCAAGGGAAGAGGGAAAGCCCAAGAACGGGCCGCCCAGGGCTGGAGCACAACTCTGGCTCAGCGGCCTGCTGGCTGTGCGGCTCTGCGCCCTGCCTTCCCTGCCTGGGAAGGGCTGCACTTCAGAATCTGGTGCCAGACGAGCCTGAACTCCAGCACCCCCTCACAGCGCAGGCCCGCGAGACCCACCCAGGCTTCACAGCGTCTGTCCGGGAGCTGGCACTTCCTCCCACCCCTGCTCTCGCTGCCTGGACCAGTGCAGTAGCCACCCCCTGCTCTGTCCTGCTCCACGCAGTCTGTTTCCCATAAACCAGCCCGAGGGAGCCAGGGACACCCCTTCCATTTTCTGCTCAGGACCCTCCGTGTACCCACCTCATTCAGAGTCCAAGTCAAGTCTTCACAGTCCCTTCCAAGACCCCACATCTGCCCCCCGGCCCCCTGCCACCATCTGCTGTGGCCCTCCTCTCTCTGTACCCCACCCCTGTGGCTCCCGCCAGGCACCGCTCAGCCTCCCCGCTCGCGGCTCCTTCCATGTGGAATGCTCTCCCCACTGCCGCTCCCTTCCTGGCTTCTGCCAGGTTTTTACTGAAACGCCTCTCTCAGCAGCACCTTCCAAACACGCCCTCCCCCTGCCCGGCTTTGTTACTCACAAGGCCCTGTTTTCTAGAACACCTTACACTCCATTTATCACACGACATCCTCCAGACTGTCAGCCCCACGAGTCCCCAACACCTAGAACAGGGCTTGGCACACATCAGCCACTCGGTAAGGACTAAGTCCTAACTCTTCTACCCCCAAGGTACCCCTGGCTGAGCCGCTCCTCTGGGCCTCAGTCTCCTCACCTATAAAACGGAAACGCAGTTTCCCCTCTCCTCACCCCCAGTGAGAGGAGGCTGGCACGTGCGTGGGGCCCGCCTGGAACACAAGGGCTCAACGAGCGCAGCTGCTCAAGCCCCTTCCCTCACTGCTGACCAGAGCTTGCTGGGGCCTTGTCCGCCCAGCTCCGCTGCGGGGGTGCTAGGGTACCGGCAGTCCTAGGGCCCGTCGGCCTCTCCGCCTTAGTGTTCACATCTCTCAATGGGCATGATGAGCTGGTCACCAGGGCCGGCCTTGCAGTTCAGAGACGCTAGCAAGAGCTGCTTCCTCCCCAGCTGAGGCAGGGTGGGGCCCAGAGAGAGACAATCCCCTCTGCTACCCTCCACCCCCCGCCCCCCGCCCGGAGCAGGCCGGCTGCAGAGCCCTGGCGTCCAGGCTGGGCAGGGACCAGCAGCCCACGCTGCTCCTTGGGCCTGGCTGGCAGACCCCTGGAACTCTTTCTAGAGAGCCGCTGGGGAGTAGGTTCCAGGAGGGGAAGTTCAGAGATAGGGCTGGACGCCACGTCCAGCCCTGACCACAGCCAGCTCTGGCAGGGGCTATCTTTTGGCTGGACTTACTTGAAAGAAAAAGAAGATAATCCCTGAACATCCTTTTTTTCTTCTATCTCTGTGCGTGTATAGGTCCACCTGAGTCCCCAAGGGACGCAGAGGCCTCCCTGGCATCTCAGAAAAGAGCATTTGAACAGCCAAGGCCCCTCTCTCAGATAGGACAAGGGTCCCAAGGTCTGGGCCATGCTTACTCAGTGCTGGACTTGCTAAATGTTAAAATGTAGCACAATATTTTACAAACCAGCTGTAAACAGGATAAGCTTGACAGGAACTCAACCTTATAAACATAAAAGTAGCCAACTGCAAGGAAGAAATCAATGTGTAATTCACCAAACGGTGTACAGAAGAGATGGCTAAGTCTCCCTTAACAGAGGCAGAGCTTAGGATATGGATCCCTTCTGCTTCTCTTACATTAAGAAAACAAAGCTACCTTGCGAGGACGGAACGCCCGAGGCGACGAACCCCGTGACTCTGCTAACACCTCCCCAAAAGAGGACAAGAGCTGCCGGGCCCTGGCCGTCCCAGCAGCTGGGCCACAGCGGGCCTGCCAGCCGCGGAAGGCCTCGCCTTCACGTGCAAAGGACACAGCGCTTGAGTTCCGGCTCCGGCACCTGGGGATGCTGGGCACGTCAGCCCTGCCCTGCGGCCTGAGCCTCAGCTTACTCACCTGTGACGTGGGGTGGCGCTGCCCCCATCGCAAGGGTGTGCCAGGGCCTGCTGGCTCGTCCAGGGCAGCCCCGGGGGCGAGGGGCGTAGGAGAATCGTCCCCGCCCCCAGGGCAGGCGGAGGAGCCCAGCTCCAGGCGTCAGGCCCGCAGCACCCTGTTCCGGCGCTGCCCGACCCCACGCACGCCTCTCTTTTCGGAGCCTTTGCCTTCCTCTCTCAGAAATGGGCACAGTGGCCTCTAAAGGCCTTTTCAGTTTGGACATTGCCACAGGGGCCAAGCTGGAAAGGAGAAAAGTTACTGAAGCAGAAGGGGGGGAAGCAGGGACTTTGTGGAGCGCCTTCTACAGCTCCACCCTCTCTCCCCAGACCCCGTAGGGAGAGGGCTGTGGGGCAGCCCGTGAAGAACCTTTCTCTACGGGAAATGAAGGCTTGACTTGCCGTCTGGTTTTAAAAATGACCAGTCCCTGTTGATTAGCACGTGTGCCGCAGGCGCTGCTCTAAGACTTTGCTGCCACCCCAGCATTTCGTCCTCACAGCCCGCCCGGAGGACGCGCCGGCGCCGTTCCCACCGCAGGGACGCAGACACTGGGGCGCGCACCGAGGAGCCGGGGGCCGCCGCGGTCCGACGGTGCCCGCCCGCCCGCCCCGCCGGGACAGAAGCCCCGCTCTTCCTCAGCCTGGGTCTGCCCAGAGGACTCCTCCAAGCCCCTCGGTGCAGAAGAGCCTCCCTGAGGCTCCCAGGGGCGGCGGGCAGCTGCCTACCACGCAGGGACGGGGAGGCCGCGGCCGACTCGCCCTCCGGGACCTCACACAGCGGCCCTCGGCCAACACCGGAAGACAGCCGGGCCGAGCAGGTGCGGGCTCCCAGCGGCGGCGGCAGGGGCTGGGGCCGGGGGCCGGCGCTGCCCCGCTCCTGCTTCCGCCTTCCCCGGGCGCCCGCCGCCCGCCGGGCTGTCCCGCGTGGGCGCGCCTCTCCCAGCCGCCCGCCCCTCCCCCGCTCGCGCGGCGGCCGCGCCCCCACCCAGCCCGCGAGCGGCAGCCCCCGGCCCGCGCCTGGGGCGAGCTGGGCGGAACCTCTGCCCCGCGGCCCGCGCTCGCGACGCCGCTCCCGGGCTGTGGACCGGGGGCGCGCGCCCCAGGTAGGGGGCGGCTTCGGCGCGTCCAGGTCGCTCGCAGACAAAAGGCGGGGGCGGGCCGGGCATCGCGTTACCGTTGAGCCGGACGGTGAACTGGCGGCGCCGACGGTCGTGCTCCACGCGGATGGGGCAGCCCTGCTCCTGCGAGCCCAGGGGCACAGCGGCCGGCGAGTGCGCCATCTGCGCGCGGGGCAGAGGCCGCTCGGACCCGGGGCCGGGGCCGGCTCCGCGGGGCCGGAGCGCGCAGACGCGGGGGCGCGGGGCCACCGGGGTACTGGGAGGCCGGGAGCCCGCACCCGGGAGACCGCAGGCGGCGGCGCAGAAACTGACACTCGGCGGCGGCCGCAACAAAAAGTGGGGGGGGCAGGAAATCAGCTGTGAGGTCACGTGCGGCGCGCAGCCAGTGGGCGCCGGGCCTTTTTGTTTTGATACATTCCATCCGACTCTTAAAGGGGCCGCAGGCCTGTCGCCAGCGTTCCACTTGTAGCTGCAAACAAAACGCGCTCCGCATCCGCCGGGGGCCACCTTTCCTTTTTACGTTTGACCCGCAGGCAACTTTGGGCCCCCACACTGACCGCTTCTCAAAAAGATAGAATGACATGTAGGAAAATTCCAATTTTCCCCTTGCAGCCACCATTTATTAGGCTCTTGCTGTGTGCACGGCCTGGGCATAGCTACAGGAGGCGCTCAGTGAGCATTCTCATCACGAGAAATCGACATGCTTGACTATTTTGCCGATGAGGAAGTAGAAGCCAAGGTTAGTGGAAGACCTTCGTGAGGTCACACATAGCTGGCGCCTTGGGGCGGCGGGGGGGTGCGTGCTGTGGGTCCCTCTCTTTGAGAAGCCCTGTTAGAGATGGGAGCGAAAAGCTACCTCTCCTCAAAAGAGGCCGAATTGCAGGAAGAGTCCTTGGAGAACCCTGGATTCAATTAAAAGATGGGAAAACTGAGTCTCAAGAGGACGACGGACTTGCTTGAAGACAAGCTGGAGTCTCAGGCGTCCAGATTTCTTGTGTGTGAAAGGGACCTTGAAGGCCCCGGCCGGTACCTCGGTAGGTTGCGGGTTCACCCTGGTCGGGGCACTGAAAAAAAGCAGCTAATAAATGCACACAGAGGTGCAATAAATAGATGGTTCTCTCTCCCCTCTTTTTTCTGTCTCTAAAATCAATAAATAATAATAAAAAAAAAAAACCGAAAAGGAACTTGACCAGGCCCCTGCCCCAAGCTTGCTCACACTGAAGCTATGGCCCCTCCCACCCATAGCTGAATCACAGGATAGCAGGTTACTTTTTACTAGTTTTCTTGTTAAAGTGTCAGCTTGATGTTCACTCCTATGTGACCACGACCCAATCGAGACACATAACACCAGTGTTTCCATTGCCCCCTTCCAATCAGTGGCCCATCCCCTGAAGTAACTAGACGTCTAGTTACTTCATGCCTAGACATCTAGCATGATTATTTTGCTTTTCCCAGAACGTCATATAAATGAAATCAGAGTATTTCCTGTTTAGTGTCCAGTTTCTTTAGTTCATTTTATCTGTGAAATTCATCCGTGTTGGAGGGGTATCTTTTTCATCACTGAATAGTTTTCAGCTGTGGGCGTTTTACAGCCTTTGGTTCCCACCTGCGACGGCACATGGGGCCTGTTGCTGGGTTCTGACCGTTGAGAAGGGATCTGCCGTGGACTCCCCACCACACCTTCTGCTGTCCTCACTGTACTGTCTCTCTCGGGTGGCCACCAGGAGTGGATTTCTGGGTCTTACAGTGACTACATCTTGAGTTTCATGAGAAATTGCCAGACTTTTTCCCAAAGCTGTTGCTCCATTTTACACTCCTACTGACAGTTTTGAGAATTCGGTGTTGTCAGCCTGTTTAGTCTTTTTATTTTAGCTGTTCAGAGGAGCGTGCAGTAGGCTCTCACCGGCTTTAATTTGCATTTGCCAGTGACTAATGGTGTGGAGCCTTTCTTCACGCGGTCCTTGAGCATTAGGAAATCTACTTTTGTGAAGTGCTTGTTTACATATTTTGCCTATTCATTTTTTTCTTTTTGATTTATAGTTCTTTCTATAGCTTTATGTGTCCTTTGGAGATATATGCAAATTTATGGAGAAAATCCTAGCAAATTTTTTTTTTTTTAAAGCATGTGTTGTCACAGAGTTTGGAAACAAAACAAGGCCGAGGAGTGAGTCATCCTCCACAAGGAAACAGAACGATTGTTGGGGTCAGAGCGCCCGGCGGCCGCAGCGGTCGGGGCTTGACCTCCTCTGAGTCAGGGAGGGCTGTAATCATGAGCAAGCAAGATGTGATCTTGTATGTATGTCAGGTGACTGCTTTGTCTCTGAAGAACTTGACTGGGGTGAGGAGGCCTAAACAAGGGTCTGGAAATTTCCGTGAACAGGCTATGCTGTTTCCCACCCTAGGCCTTTGCAGGTGCCATTGCCCAGCGGTCACTTCCTTCGGGAAGCCCTCACTGGTGCTCCTCAGCTGGCCCAGCCCAGGGGAGGGTCCTCCTCGCTGAGTCCTGGGCAGGGCCCAGTGCAAGGCAGGCCCAGGGTCAGAGCCCAGGACCCTCCCTGTTTTTGACTCCCTTCTTTGTCTCCTACTTTTAAATAAATGTCTATTAGCTTATTAGGGCCTTTGAACCTGTCAGAAGTCCTTTGGGGAACAAGGCAGTGTATCAATAAAAGAACAAACCCGGTGATTAATCTTGGCTGAGTTGAGTGGATTTGCCCTATCTTTTGACCCCAAAACATGCTGGTCACGGAAGAGGTCTCAGGGAGGGGTTGCTGAATGAACGTGGGACCCCTGAAGTTAGAAAGCAAAGCTGGGTCCCCACAGTCTCGGGGTGGGTGGCCATTGGCCGCTGGGAGTCCTGATGGCTGGGGCCTGGCAGTGCCGCATGGAGACCAAGCTGCATGTGTATAGGGTTTCATATATTCATTCAGTAAGTCATGTAGCAGACATTTATTGAGCACCTACTGTGTGCCTGTCACTATTCGAGGGGGGCACAACAGTGAACAAGACAGACCAAATTCCTTGTCCTTCAGGAGCTGCATTCTAGGGGAGGGAGAAACTGAGCAAAGGAGGAAATCGAGGAACAGTTCATCGCCAGTGCTCCAGTGAGAGGTGAGGGTGGGTAGGGTGTGGGATGGGCTTTTGGAGGTTCGAGACAGGGTGGCCAGGACTGACCTCAACGGACTGGACTCATTTTATGAAGGATTTAAGGAGGCAAGAGAGTGAGTCTGGAGATGGTGGGCGAAGAGTGGTCCAGGCAGACAGGAGTCAGTGCAGAGGCCCCAAGCTGTGTTTAAAGAACACACTGAGGCCAGTGTGGCTGAGGCAGAGGGGCCAGCGACTAGGAGGTGAGGCCAAGGGGCCTGAGGGCAGACTCTGAGGGCCGCCCCCACCCCCGGGCCCCCCCCGCCCCCCAGGCAGGCCTTCAGCTTTGATTCTCAGGCAGGAGGGAGCCACGGGACAGTTTTGAGCAGACTGGGGACACAGTCTTAGGATTTTCTGTTTGTTTAATATTGGAAAACTTCAAACATATATGTAAGTAGAACAATAAAATGAAACACAGCATATGCATCATGGCTGAGGTTTTTGTTTGTGTTTTTTTAATAAAAAAAATCAGGTAGCATTTACATAAAAATCGCACTGTTCCGAGCGCAGTTTTGACGAATGTACACCCTTATGCAGGCGCGCGCGCGCGCGCGCACACGTCTCACCACCACAGCGCAGTTACCAGCAGTTTTATCTCCCCCAATCCCAAAGCCCCTTTAACTGTCCTTAACCACATCTCCGACTTATTTTCGATCCATTTCATTTTACCTTTTCCAACATGTCATATAAATGGCACCATGCAGCATGTGGCCCACCATGTCTGCTTCCTGCCATTGGCGGGCCACCTCTGTGCCTGGCCGAGGGGGCTGAGCAGCCGGAGTGTGTTCCATGGGATGGTGCCTCAGCCTATGCTTTGAAGATCCCTCTGAGTGCCACATGGGGGCGGGCCATGGAGGAGACATGCAAGAGGCAGAGACCCCCGCTCTAGTCCAGATACACAGCGATGACAACGGCCAGTGCCAGCTTCCCTGAGCCCTTCGGCTCTCGCAGAAATGCTGCGCAGGCGGCTGCTGTCGTCCGCCTCATTTTCCAGGTGAGGTCACGCAACTGGCAAGGGGCAGAGTCGGATTCAAACGCAGCACCTCCCTGTTCTGGACCCAAGCATGGGGCAGTCTCTGCAGGGTGCCCCGAGGGGTCCGGGGACGTTTGCAGACATTCTGACCCCAGCACTGGAGCCAGGGGCCGCCGATGGGAAGGAGGTGAGCCTGACTTTGGAATCCTGAAGGCCAGTCTCTACTGCCACCACCGCCAGGGGACCCCACTGTGTGCACCCGCTGATGCTACTACCCCACCGCAGGGGAGAGGAGCTAAAGCTCCATGAGGAGGTCCCAGGAGGGCTAAGACACAGACTGAGAATTTGAACCAGTCAGCCTCCAGGGCCTCACTCTTAGCACCTCCAGTTCTAACCGTGGGGCCTTGGTTCTCATCTGTGGAAGAGAATTAAGGGGCATGAGTAACGTCATCAACTCCCGAGGGCAGAGACCGAGCCCTTGCTGAGCCTGCCCCGCGGTGTGGCCCTGCTAGTGGCCCTCCCCTTCCTCCTCGCAGCCCCAGGCCTGGCCGCACCCACTGAACCTCGGCAGCGGAGGCTCCGTCAGGTCTGGGTGGAGTGAGAGTGGGTGGGGCAGGGTGGGCCACCCACCCTGGTCCCTAGCCCGGCAGTCCTCCCGCTGAGCCCCCACCTCCTTGCTGTGCCCAGACCCCAGCCTCCCCTGCACACAGTCAGTGCCTTCGCCCTCCCGGATGCCTGCGCTCTTCTTCCTTCCTGAGCATACGCACAAGGGGTGCCCGTTTAAAATTCTCAGCATGGATAGAAAATGATCAGGAAGATAACGGTCCCTCATAAACCCACCTCTGAAGTCCCCCACTCTTCAGTTTGGCTACATCCTTCCAGAGATCTTATGCTTGTAGCAAGTCATTTACTCAGTCGTTCGCTTGCTTGTTCACTGTTTACTGAGGAACTACTATATATTCCAGAACCCGGGAACACAGCAGGAAAGAAGGCAGAAAAAACCATTCACATGGAGCTTTTTACACACAGTGTTTTTTCCAACAAAATGTAAATATATTCACTGTTTTGTAGTCTTTTTCTTTTCCATTTAACAATATACTCTGTCAATTTCAATTTTAATATATAGAAAGCCACAGAATCATTCTTTAAGAATATTTTAAATTTAATTTTTGATTAGGTAATATAACCA